AAAAAAAAAAAAAGTTTAGAACAATCATAATTGTGGCGGTGGTAGTGCCGCCAACCTTAAATAATTTGGGAAATTCTTTCGGAATAGACCCGTATCTTGTCATTCTGCAGTGTGTAAACTTTAAACTTTAACCTTTATTAGTGTCTCGGTCCACACACAATTTGCTATCAGCACTATTTTACGAGAAATAAAAATAGTTTTAAACACTTGAATATTAAACGCTTCATCATGAATCCTATGACGTACGTAACGTAGTATTAACAATTTTAAATGATGTATATCTTCAAGAACTTCATCACTAGTTTGCATTATTTTCTCATTCAATTTCAGTGATTAATAATTTTTTCACAGAAACATCAAAAACATCAAAAAATTGAGTGAACAAGAAATACAAAGGAGCTCGAAAACTTCTTGGCATGATGAATATAAAGAGAGTGCGTGGATTTTTATTGGAGGTTTACCATATGATTTAACTGAAGGTGATTTGATTGCTGTATTTTCACAGTAAGTGAAAAATCGTAGTTAATTAAAGAAATGCTTTAATAGTTGTAATATAAGCACGTTTATAATTTAGGTATGGTGAAGTAGTTAATATTAATTTAGTTAGAGATAAAGACACAGGCAAACAAAAAGGATTTGGTTTCTTATGCTATGAAGATCAGCGCAGTACAGTTCTTGCAGTAGACAACTTCAATGGCATGAAGGTATAACTTTATTTTTTTAATAGCTTTTTTTCATAATAATGTGTTTTGTCGTGTAGATTTTAGGTCGAACAATTAGAGTTGACCATGTGAAAGATTATAAACCCCCTAAGGATTCAAAAAAAATTGATGATGATACACGAAAATTGAGGATGGAAGGCTGTGCTCCAGAAAGAAAGTGATTGACATACTATGAAAAGTAACTTATAAATATGTAAATAAACATTTTTATTTATAATATTATACATTAACAAGTAAAAAGATTAAAAATTGTAACATATTATGTATTTAATAAAAACTGTGCGTATTCAAAAACTACATTTTGAGCCAAATAACTTGATTGAAATCTATGCGAAAAATTTTTTTTCTACATGCATGTTTTTTTACAATTGAAAATTTTTAATCCCTCACACTGATTATAATGACCAAGTTATTGATCCCGATGACAGTCGTATTTTACAATTAAAATTCTCATTTCAGTTAATGATATATATTTGGTAAAAAAAAATATATTGAATTCAAACATTAAGCGCGAGAACTGTGGTATCAAGACGAACCGAATTCATTCATCCATTTTTCATATTTATCTAAGTCTTCTTGTGATACACTTTTGTTGCATCTTTCGAGAGCTTCGTCAAAATCCGCTGCCGAAACGGGCAAGTCCAATTCTTCCTTTGGTAATTGCCTTATTTGATCTGGTCTTAAACCAGCAATTTTTCGCCGCATTGACATCATCGAGGCATCCCTGAAATAGCCATTTATAATTAAATCTAACATTAGTTAAAATTATTCAATAATAAATAATTCCTCTTATGCATTACCTGCAGACATTCGTAATATCTGCTCCGGAGTAACCTTCTAATTTTTTAGCAATTTCAGTGAGGTTGACTGATTCGTCTATTTTAACTTCACGGAGATTAATTTTTAACAAAGCCTCTCTTCCTTCGACTGTATAAAAAAGAAAAATCGCAAGCGTTATTTATTATTCAAGTTTTAATAAATATTAAATGACATAAAGGGGACAATACTTACGGTTAGGCAACGGTATATAGATTCGTTTTTCCAACCGTCTTCTTAAGGCTTCATCAATATCCCAAGGGAAATTCGTGGCAGCTAGTACCATGACTATTTTAGTAGGGTCTTCGTTATTTGAGCTTATACCATCCATTTGAACAAGTAATTCTGACTTTACTCGCCTAGACGCCTCGTGCTCGGACTCTGAGCCTCGTCTTGAACATAAAGAATCTATTTCGTCGATGAATATTGTACTGGGAGCGTAAAACCTGGCCTGTAAAAAATAAGATTCTTGAAACTGAAATAACTGTCGTAAATATTATTTTTTAACGTTGTGAATGAACCAACCATCTCAAACAATAGTCTCACTAGCTTTTCCGATTCACCTCTGTATTTTGATGTTAATGTAGAAGAAGAAACATTGAAAAACGTTGTACTGCATTCCGTCGCCACTGCTTTGGCAAGCATAGTTTTACCTGTACCAGGTGGTCCTACCATGAGTACACCTTTCCAAGGCCTTCTAATACCCTGGAAGCAGAGATTCAATTTTAATTTTTGTCTTAATACATTTTACCTAGAAAAAATTTCAAGGTTTACTTTGAAGAAATCTGGCATCAGTGTTGGAAGAACTACTACTTCTTCTAATAGTCTTTTGGCATCATGCAAATCAGCAATATCATCCCAATGGATATCGATATTTTTTTGCACAATATCTCGCTCTGAAAGTGTATAAATAATTATTTTGGTTGTACTGCGATAATGATATTCAGAGGTCAAAACGTGAAATTCAACACACCTAAAGTTTCTACAAGATCCCTGTCACATCCTGCTGGCTCAAACTTCCTCTCTTCTATTTCGACATCTGTTTTTTCTGAATTTTCCACTTTTTCCTAAGTCATAATAATTTTAATTTACCATTCAAAAATCCATAAATGCGTATGTAAAAAAAAATTTATAGTTTATAAACCTGTTTTACATCGTCTTTCTTGCCATTATTTGGATTGGATGTTTTTTTGTCATCATTGCCATTATTATTCCTTTGATTGTTTCTAGCAATCGGTTTGACATCTGTTTTCTTTGCAGAAGTGATACTTGGTTTGCGAAGGTTCGAGCGGTTCGTAGGCGGCCTTTGCTGATTTCTCGGTGGAAGTTTCGAGTTTCTGCAGCATAAATAAAAACTCATTTAACATTGGGGAAATGGCTTATAGCAGTTTTATAGTGTGGCCCTTACTTTTGTTCTGTGGGTGAAAGTGGTGGCCATACATCAGGATCTCTGGGTGGTGTTGGTGCCCACATCCCTGAAGAACCACATGACCACAGTGCAGAGTCCCTGGTCGGTTCCTCGTACGACAAGCATGCTGGCCCTTTGAAATCAAATGAACATAGTACTTGCTGGAAAAATATCTAAAGCACAAGTGAACGTACCTACGAGTCTTTCACTATGCGAGTCGCATTTGAACAACTGCAGCATACTGGAGGTGGCCTTGACTTTCTCAAACTCCTGAGCTATCTGGTGCTGGACTTGTTGCCACTTGGCCTTACGGGTGCCATCGACGATGCTAGAAAGCAGCCTGTGAATCTGTTGCACGACGCCCTGATAGTAGACACCAGAGGTGTCGTAGTTTCCCGTGAGGGCCATCTCCCTGGCGAGCTTTGTGTTCTCGCAGATCTCGTTGATCGAAACGGCCATCTCTGGGGCAAAAACAAGCGAAAATAATTTCATAAGTCCGTTGCACAACGACACAGCGGTAGTGAGTAGGTATACATATGATGAGGAAAGGAATATCTAAATGAACAGAGAAGGAGGAGAAGCGAGAAAACACAAACGCACAAACACAAGCCAAGGTTAACTTCCGAAAACAGATGTAGGCGGTAAATTGATTATTGGTTCTACAGGAGAGAGAGAAAGAGGTACATAGATACTGAGATATGATATCCTATACTTACCTAATGATGACAGATATTTAATAACCACAGTCCTTTAGACAGGGTATTAAAATAACTCCTCGAGGAATGATATCCTTCCCCGTGCATTTATATTCAGGATGAAGCAGTACTTGCGACGTGTTCGTAATTTTTCCACATTTTCACATCAACACACAAATGTTTTACACACACAGCACACTATTTTCTCGATCAACAATAAAATTTGTCCAAAAATCGAAATGCATTAGCTAATTGCCATCGTTACAAAACATAATAACAGTGTATTATTTGTTTGAATTGTAATCAATTAATATTCCGAAGAGGAAAAAAAATACTTATAGTCTTAACAAGTAAGTAGGTGTAGCAGAAACGTCAGTCTCTCTCCCCACCTCTCTAGTGGAGTGTCTCCACTCTCCACTAGTCCACTGTCAAGCAGCATTGCTCCCTCCATACGGTAACCTATAGCTATAGGTATATAGTAACGTATACATTTAGCTATAGATATATGTATGCGTATATACCTGTATACGATAAATAACACGGTAACCGAATCAAATAGTTCAGGAAAGAGAAGAATACTTAATTGGTAAACTTTTAAGTACTGTGAACTTGTACCGGTAAAATGTAAATAAGGGGCTAAACCTATGTATAAAAATATACTTGTAAAACTGAGTAGTGTACCGAGTAGGTACAATATTCATAAAAGTATAGTATGAGTGTACCACTGTACAACCTGCAGAATATGTTTAGTAATATCACGAAATCCACGATTCACGATCAGTTCAACGACTACTTATATAAGTACTTCACAAACTTTGGTATCGACAACATAATTTAGGTAGCTATAACTGTTAAACTTGCGGGTGGGACGATTCGTTTAAAAAAGAGAAATTGCAGATGGGCCTTACGACTTGCGTTAGTTACATTAAGCGTTGCATTGTTGCATACTTAAATCAAATATGTGTTTACTTGATGAATTACCTATGGTTCGTTTATTTTTTTTTTTCTCGTCTATTATTTTACTTCGAGTGGAAAGAACCGTTCCTCTCTCTCATCTTGGCCGATGAATTACACCTATTATCGAAGTTTACTTTGATGCACCAGCAGTAATAATATTGGAAAAAATTGCCCAGACCTTTCGATCAATTCAAACTGACGATTATTTTATGCACAGCTTTCATTGTTGTATACTGATGCCCATATACATACCCATAGCCGTTATACCTTCATTTTTATCATACCTATATGTATAATTGGTATTGTAATATAGTTTAATAATAGGTATTACTATATATATATATATGTAGTACAAAAGTTTTTATTAATTGAGTAAGTGAAGTCAAGTATTTTATACTTTATACGCTGCATTGATAAAGAATAATATTAATAAGTGTTTAAATAACAGACAGATACAGAATAAAGGATAAAAAAACATCGCATATTTCCTTTTACAAACACTGACGGTATCAAGTGTGGAAATTATAGTAATGTTAATGATGAGAGCAGTTGTTTATTTATGCGACGGTAAGCGTCATAATCACTGGGATTGGGTTTGGAATTTTTTTTTGTTTTTGACTGTTCGACGGTGGGAAAAACCCCCTGGATTACCAGGGGGCATACTCGAGACTATTTTAAGATTAAAAAAAAAAAAAAAACACTACATTATTAAAATAGGTTTAAAACTTTTATTCATTAATAAATTGTAGTTAACGGAATATGAAGCTCAGTACAATCATATTAAAAACATGGGCATGTTTACAATTACTTGAAGATGTGTGAGGTATTTTTCTAATTCTCGAATCATTCCTATTTTGAATATCGGATTGTTAAGGGTAGGTTTTTTTTTTCCGGAATCATCAGCGATTTCCCCCCATCTCGTGGATGCAAACCTGGACAGAATTGCAAAGTAATTGTACATCAGCCAAAAGTAATGATACAAAGAGAAAAGTTAAAAAAAAAAAAAAAAAAAAAGCGTAGAAAATGCGAAAGGGCATAACGAACCGCTAAAAGTGAATATAATATATATAATTGCACTTAAGGTACGATTGATACTCTGCACCGTAGAGAAAGAAGTTTAAATATGCATAGGATGAAATATAAGGTACCATAACGCGATTATTGTATTTACACCGAACTGAATAACTGTTATGGGAAAAATTAGATCCCATGGAGTATAAGTTATGCGTATTTTTGAGTTACGCCTTACCAATAATTTTTAATCATTACGACTTTTTTGTAGAATCGTTTTTTTCGCTGTTATTTAAAAAGTTTGCTCTATAAAGTTTGCATTTGCATTAAATTATGGAGTAAAACATACGATTTCTTGGTCAATTATAGTTAGCCTCTCGATCTTGAGTAATTATTCGAGTTTGCAGAGAAAACATGAGGCACACCCCTGGTAATGTATAATGCTTTGTGCTCAAATGTATGGTTGAAATATGTTGGAAAATACAATGTAAGGAAATAACGGAGGATGTGATATAACGTACTTTTATGTTAACACGGGTATACCAACTGCACTGAAAAGTGGTGTGAAAACTATAAGTGCCAGAGACACAAGAGGCTGTGTAGGCCGAGTACTGGTGTACAAAAATAAACAACAATCATCCGAAATAGTTTATACTATCATTGTAAAGCTTAAATGATTAAAAACTATACCTCTCACGTGGACTCGCAATAAAATTTACATTGACAATTTTCACTTGCATTACAGCGTTTGCCAATAAAAAATATCTGGATTCATGTAATGTTATTGATGTTATCGAGAGATTTCTTGTGCACATAAAAAAAAAAAAACATAAGGCGGGCCGACAAAAAAAAGCGTATTTCAACAATACATTATACGCGGCTAATACAATTTTCGCTCTGGATGATTCATAAAAAAAAGCACGCGTTACCCGTCTCGTTAAAATATTTCCCGTATACTATTATACGAAAATATTTAAATCCAGACATTATAAATCCCAGACGGGGAAAAGAGAATATTATGTCCCGAGCGAGTACATACATATATATAGAGAGAGAGAGAGAGAGGAAAAGGGGGAGAAAAGCCACTCGACTCCCCGTGAGCCACTTCAGCGCGGCAGTACACAGGGAGTCGGTGTGGCTCTCGAGACACCCATACACACACACACACACACAATGAAAGTAATTTTTCCCTTCGAGAGGCTCTGCGTACTTACTGCGCCGTTTTACCTACTCCACCTATATGTGTATATATTATATATACGTACAGCCTAATAGCCGGATTAAAACATGACACGCGGGCCAGTAGCTCTCCACGAGATATGCAAAATTCTTTCCAGTGCTGTATGGTAGGTATAGCGATCTTGAGACGGAAAAAAAAAAAAAAAAAAAAAAGATATCCGACGGGGCGGTAATAGAGAGAGCTCGTACCCTCTGCCGCGCTGCAAGCTTTTACACCTTTATACCAGTATAGGTATGTACATATAATTATATACTATGCTCGTGATGTGAACACTATAGCCTATCTCGTGCTCCATAAATAGGAAGCCGCAAGTATGAAGGTATTTGCGCTTTAAAAAACGGGAACTCGATATCTCCACCTCTTTATTACGCTCATATAAATATAAGCTTGCGATAATATCAAACTTTTATCGTTATAAAGTGTAATTCGATCTTTTGGCCTATAGAGTATAAAAATCATTGTCATTCTTACGTGATGTAATAATTATAACGAACATCTCGGAGATGAATCTCCCTTCATCCATGTATATGTACAGTACAAATATTATAATTATAATGATAATGCGCGTTTAAATACATATATATATATACAGGTACACACAACTATAGGTATATACATATATAGAGTATAGGCGCGCTACGCGACGCGAAGACTCTCGTTACGTAAAACGACTTTGCATAAATTGTCGCTCGGCACATAAAGCCATGGCCTTTAGAGGCTCCCGCTGTTGCCTTTTTTTTTTTCCTTTTAAAATATACATATAACACACGTAAACACAAAATTATACACATGTATTCCGAGCGTATACGCGTATAAGTGCAGTCGGAGCAACAAGGCTGCATGTATATGTATATTGACTTGGTTAATTTGCATTTTTATCGCTCGCGCTCGATCTCTCGGCCAAAAGGACGCTCGCGGGGCACTCGTGTGTAGGTACCTATTGCTGATTTCCTTATTCGTCTTTTACGCGTGTACCTATACTTATATATACATATACATGTACACGGACGATCCAGTACGGTATAATAGTATAGTAGTTGTAGCAGGTAATAGTAAAACAGTACAGTCGTGCATGCAGATTTTTTTCGCCCATAGTATACATATGTATATACATTTGTATAGGGGGGGGGGAAGGGGGGTGCGATTGTTGTTTTTCTTTCTTTTTCCTTCCTTCTCGCGTTCGTGCTCGTTTTATTTGCTTTCCCCGTCTGTTTCGGTCGTTCGGGTGCCCGGACCAACGTGGACTGAATTAATACGGATCCGCTTGGATTTCTATCAATTTTCTCCTCCGCCCCCTTCCCCCTCCCCGCCATTAAGTATAGACGTCGGCCCAAAGTGCTGCAAGGGAAGGAGGAAGACTTCTCTTATTTCTTCCTTCCTTTTTTTTTTTTCTTTTTTTTTCTTCTTCAACCCCCCTTGCTTATTCCTTTGGCTCGTCCGCGCAACTGTAATAGTTGGCTTTCAGCTTTTTAAAATTGCTCGTCGCACTGCCGAGATTTCGCTCGGGGGTAAAAAGTTCTCTTCGCATACGCTGCACACACACACATATATATACACATATGCTCACGCGGCTCTCGAGCGAGCGCTTATCGAACCGATTGGCAGGTGCACACACACACGTAAAGTTTCGAGGGAATCGATGGTTATATATTATTATTATTATTATGTTGGAACTATCATTTTTTTCCTATCTTTTCTTTCGTAGGGATTGAAAATCTTGCTATTCGTCAATGGGTGAATTTCACCTGGGAAATGTAAACTAGCATCGTTTGATATAAAGTATATGATAATCGATTGGATCAATTATTTAATCAGCTCTACCTAAATAAACAGCTATCATATATAAATTAAAAAAAAAAAAAAAAAAAAAAAACATACACTCACCGGATTTGTATATACGGATATATAGGTATTTGACGAAAATTAGATAGCGTTTTTTTCTTAACGCACACTTGCGGTACATTCACACAACACACGATCGCCAACACAATTATCCCTGATTGCGATGGTCGGTATGGGTGTACCCACCTACCTGTATATTATATATACATGGTAGTACAGGTTGGTAAGTAGAACAGGTCAACGTATAGATGCCCACGATTGTTAAAAGACTCGGATGTTTTTTTTTCCCTCCCAACCGTAAAATATACTTACTTATCACGGATGCACGAATTTTTCCCATTAAAGTTCAACCAAGAAAGAGAGAGAGAGAGAGAGAGAGAAAAAACGCAGCATTCATCTAGATTCAATTAACATTATCCTCCAGCGTCATCTTTACACTTACGGGCCGCGAAAGTTTAACGAGTGGTACGTAGGTATATATACGCGGTAACTTGATACTACTTTTTTAACGGCTACATGCCGCAGCTGGAAAAACGAGGGCCTCTCCGTAAAAAAAAAAAAAAAATTAAAGTTGTTTTTTTTTACGAGAGTCATCGCGCGCAATGATGCGGCCTTATTATTTAATGGCTCGCGCGGTGAAACTCCAAGTGGCCGGGTAAGTATGTATTATACCATCTAGTAGGGCATAAGAGGCTCTCGGTTTTTTTTTTTTTTTTTGTTTTTTTTTTCTCCTAACTTGCGTTAAAAACTTTTTCCCCCTTTTTTTCGAGCATCATACACAGGCATATACCCACGTACGGACGAGGAACGGGCTCGAACAAAATGTATAAAAGCCGGCTACTACAATAATGTGTGAAGGTGACGTGACACTATGTACAATATAACCCTGCCACGGAGGCTATGACGAAAACACATGAATCAAGCGATAAATTGAAATTATCGCGCAACGAGGATATGATGTGACGGTTATGGTTGCTGTATACTGAAAAGTGTGTATAATATTACGTAAGTATGTATATACACACATGCATCACGAAGAGTATAACTGAATGTAAGCATCAACGTGCTCGTATAAATAGCGGTAGGTGGGCGCGTGCCTGTGTGTATTACGTACAAGGAAAGAGCAAGAGTACAAGGTACCCTATAGGGACCCCGGGCAGAAAGAGAGAGGGTGTGCAGGGCATATTGCACGCATCGGTGCACGCGCGTTAGGCACCGGAAAAGAGCCAGGCAGGCGAGATAACGCGTATATGTGTACATTGTACACGCACATTATATATAGGTATGCATACTCGTGTGTTTGGTGTGTACGAGCGTAAGGATGCAGTGAAGAGTATAATGGTACTGCAGCCACTATGGGACGTCACAAAGAGAGAGTGAGAGAGAGCCAAGTTATATTAGCCGGTAATAAAAGTCAGTCAGAGAGAGAGAGAGAGGAGGCGGTCAAAAGGGAGAAGGCCAATTACGCGATGGCGACATTAATCATTGCAGCGGGATCTCAATTTTCCGAAATTACCTTTCGAATGGAATGAAAGAGAGAAATGGCCCCGGTGACCCACTGGTATACCCGATGCAGAAAGTATACGTGTATAGCTAAATACACGGGGAGCAAATTTTAGCGCTCCGGGGGTTGCATCGGCAGTCAATATAAAGGCCCCGTGGAAGATCGTAGGCACATGCATGTATCCAGAAGGATGTATATATGCTGCGAAGAAAGAAAGAATCCTGGTCCCACGCGTATACCTCGATTGTGGGGGAGGAAAGGGTGCCGGCACGAGCCATTAATCCATGCAGTGGATAGTGTACAAAGGCGCGAGCGCCCGCTGCGGCAGCTGCTCCTATATATATATGTGTACTTATATACTTACATGCGGCTGCACATGAGTTGAGCATCTGAGCAGTCGACTCTCCACGTATACATGGTACTATATGGTACATATTATACGTATAAGGTGGGCACACATAAGGAGGGGGGGGCAAGAGTCGTTACTATATGTATATATTACGCAGTAGTAGAATTACCATAGAGATGCGTGATACGTGCTGCAGCAGTGAGCATCAGCATCAGAGAGAGAGAGAGAGAAGGGTCTCCCCAATTAATGAGATTTTCGGCCGGGTGGGTGCTTACGAGAGAGAGAGCTTTATACCTACTCTATATACAAGCCTGCCTGAGCGTGCTTGTGTAGACACAGCCGCTGCTTTTACCACCATCCACCTACATATATATATATATATATGTGTGTGTGTGTGTGTGTGTGTGTGTGTGTGTGTGTGTGTGTGTGTGTACATAGCAGCGGCCTACCGCCGCGGCTGGCACGCGCGCGTTTTCCAACGAGCCCCTTCGAGTTGCTGCTATACGCATGTATACGTATATCCATTTCCCCATGGATGCAGCCGTGCACGTATTATATAGTATACGCGGTCTTTCACCCTCCCCCCCCCGCCTCAACCAACACCCCCTCGATCTACCCGGTCGGTGAATCGGCTTTGCTCCGGGATGGTGTTGTATGTATATATGTGCGTGCACGCGTGCAGCCAGCCGCATCGCACCACCATGCCGTGCGACGACGGCGGCAGCGGTGAGCTTTCCGCGCGCGCAGCGGTTCAATAACTCGGCGGCTACGACCACGACGACGCCTGCGCCACAGATGTGATGCGAAGGCGAGAGAGAGAGAGCTTGCTCTCTCCGTTTGGCTCAGGAAGAAAAGGAGAGCTACAACAAAACTGAAGCTCTCGAAGCACGGCATAAAGCGCCGCGCGCTCTCCACGCTCCGCAGCCGCTTTTACCTTATCCCCCTTTGGTGTAGTGTGGAGAGTGCTCCGCTCGCGGAGAGACACCAAAAACTTGTGTACATCACGGCGAAGGGGACACATGTATTACAAGTACAACAGTGCAGTGCCGTGCGGTTAATTTGTATACTTCATAATACTTGCACCTGTAATAAGTAATAAGTGGTGCATATGTGTATAGGACACGTCGATTAAAGAGGGACCACCGGCTCGATGTGCACGCCGACGGCGTAACGACTCATCCGCAGGAGCTGGGCGCCACGCGCGCTATGGTAGGTGATGATGAACTCCCCGGTAGGAGGGATGAACCACCTCGTCAATTTCAATTTTTTTCTCCCGCTTCGCATGTTCAATAAGTATACACCATAAAGCATCGTATCGATGATCGCGAGCTCCGGAGTGTCCATGGTTTATATCGTTAGCGCATCGGGTATAATCACTATCGCGCTGATACCACAACGCGCTCGCCCGTCCGATGGTTAAAATACAAGCGTGACTATCACCAACAACCATATGTATAGTGATGATGTACCTTGTGTACACCCATCAAAGCCGTGGGTGCGCGAATATAATGCACGGTACATGAAACACAATACGGGAGGGAGGGGGGAGTTGCCGTGTGTATACATCAGCCTGCCGGAGGTGCCAAGTGCGCGAAAGATTTACGGGGGGGTGGGAGAGAGTGACAAGTGTTCCCTAATCCCGGCGCGTTACCTGAGGCCGCTCCGAGCGCCGTGTGTTCTTATCCGACTCCCCCCCCCCCTTCCTGAACGATTACGCGAACGCAGGTTAGTCCTTATCGGCCGGCCACCTTTCTTTATTATTTTTTCTACACCCCATTTAAGGACCGATTGACTCTCTCTCCCTCTCTCTGTGTACATAATATGAGCTTTTTCATCTCCAGGATGATGTATAGTTTCGTCAAACGAGCCGTGCAACCGTCAATCCAATGGGTTACTGCTCGAAGAAACCACCACGGCGAAGGGGGATTTGTTTTTTTTTTCTTCCACGTCTCTTTTCCCCACTGATTGTTCCCCTTGAACGGGTAACAGACGGTTCGTGGAAACTCTCGGTGTGGGAAGGGGGGGGGGGCGAGTGCGCGGGGATTAATTGCCCGTGACACTTTTCCCCGAAAACCGTGGAGCGCCCGATCGATCTTCGGAGCAGCGCCGGCGATTTATGGGCTGTACGTATATACGCTCCGGTGAATTTTTTATCACGCCTCGGCTAACCCCCCCCTCCCTTTTTTTTTTCTACGAGGATTAATCGTTAATCGGGCGATTCGAGGAGTCACGCGTGTGTACATGAACGCACGAGCGAGACGAACAACAGTGATTGTATACACGAAGAAATAAATGTGGACAACGTGATGTAACAACCATACATTATATAATTATAACGGAACAAGCAGTGAAAGTTTAATTCCACACGCGTATATGTTATATATATATACATTATGTAGAATGTCATAGGAGCTAGAGAAGAAGAAGAAGACAGTGGCATGGTTCGGTGTATAAATATCCCAAGCGCACACGGTTCATATAATATATACTTACGTCGGTATGTATAAGTAGGGAGATAGTGTACAAAGCTCCTTGTCTCCGCGTGAAGTGTGTGTGTGTAGATGTACGTACGTCGTGACGGCGGTGGCGGCGGGCGTCGAGTGACGTGTTGATACAGAGGCTTCCTCCCGTAAGATAAATGTCTTTTTAAAAGCTAAAGAACAGGTATACGTATATATATATGTATGACGGACGGTTTACGCAAATCTGAAAATAATACCCTTCAACGTCATTTATACCCACCAAGTGTGTAAAGACATTAGAGGGACACAAAGAGGAAGAAGAAAAAGTGTGGCGGGGGAGGGGGGAGAGGAGGGTATGTGTGCATACGTACACAACCCCCTCTTTCTCTCTCTACCCTGCTTTTATACCTCGAGTCAATCACGTGCATGCGTTTCATGATGGATAGCCTTGCCGTGCGTAATGTATAGTACCTATCTACTCGAGTTAGTATTGCCTCTTGAAGAAAAAAAAAAGAAAAAAAAAAGAAAAAAAAAAGAAAAAAAAAACACGCTACAATATACGTGCGGGCACTCGTTGAATCTATATGATTTATTTAATTTCCTCTTTCCTTTGTCATATTGACAAAACAATCACGACGGCAATTAAAACAATGAAATTCACGTAGCGCGACAGAAATGCACACACGTAACTATATCCCTCGCTGTATATATTATATATAAAAATGCATATTTATGAGTACGGGGCTGTTGCAATGGTGCGCGTTTCAATTAAAAGGCATTTCATTAAAGGACGCGCTTGTACATATGTATATATATATATAACTACACGCGACTCGAATAGAATTCGCTATCGAGTGGAGTTCAATAGTTCGTTAAACACATGACCGCAGGCAGCGGGGGGGTGCCCACCACGACAACAGGGACGATTCCCATTGCGTGCACTCGAACATTAATATCTTCGCGTTGAATCAACAAACGCGCGCGCGCATCCTCTTTGTTTTTTTTTTTTTTTTTTTCTCCCGTTTTCCCGTCATCGGCAGCGAACCCTTGAACCCTCCCTCGTGTGCTCCCCCTCGTTGCGTGTACAAATTATCGGATACGTAATACACACACATACTATCGCTATTACACTATATGTTGTTATTATTATTATTATTATTATACTTTTAGTATAACGTGTACTTATCAAAGAGAAATGCCGGTATTACCGCCGTTATGATGATAGGACGGCCACAGCTTACTTAGTACTAACCGCAACCACTGCCGTCACCATGTGTGTGTGTGTGGGTGTGGGTGTCTTATATGGCATATGGGACACACATAAGTCTGCAGAGGGTAGATGGGTTATACGTGTATACACATGCGAAGGAAAACGTAGTGCGCAAACATCCGATGATAAGCCCTTGAGCTCTCACTCTCATCAAAAGGCCATTAACGAGGATGGGGCGCGCGAGAGAGAGAGAGTTACCCGTAATATGGAGTGTGCTTTCGCGCGTGCCCATAATATTTACCCGTTCGTGGGCTGTAAGTAGGAGGACTGGAGAGTAAAACACAGAGATTCGTTAAATGCCGAAAAGAGGAAAGAGTACATATATATATAAATTATATACATCTCTTCGAGTCCATCGTTATCATCATCGTCACTTGATGCCACATCACTGCACATATACATACGGGTACACAGAGTCGCGCCATATAATATACCGCTCCTGTACGGGGCAAAGTTTATTCAATCAAAAGTTTTGTAATTTCATACGCAGTGTGATTCAACTTGCCTTTCTCGTGTACACTCCCGCGCGCATACCACCCTCTGCGTGTTCCCTTTACTGCAGGGGCCAAGGGGGAAACTTTGAATTATGATGTGCGGCCGGCGCTCACGTATATATACATATAATATATATATATATATATATATATAGCAAAAATTTACTGCAATTAAACTTCCTACTTATCATCATATCCTGACGTTTAATTATTTAGCACGAGGGTATCATGACGAATGGCCCGTGAGATGGTTTCTTCCTCTCCACTGTACACGTTGTTGGTTTATTTCCAATGTTATACAACACGAATGGTGCGGGCATGTGGGGCCATAAATGTGCGCGTCCTCGTTTGATGTACGAGCTTTGAGCTTTCGCCGAGACTCCCGCGCGCTAATTCAGACGGATGGTCCTTTTTAAGCGAGACGACAAAAGTGCGGGGTACAAGTAGAAGTAGGGTAGGGGACTCTTGTCAATATATATATATATATATGATGGCGAATAATGAAAAGCGCGTGTTGGGTCGTGTCAGTGGTGTGATTGCAGGGGGTATCATCAGCGGATGCAGACGAGGACGACGCACCGAGGAGCCATCACCGTGGTAGCAGCAGGAGGAGGGGAACGATGATGGTGAACGATACGGCGAACGAGTGCTCGCTGTGCAGCCTGGGCCCGCCGCCGGACATGATACTCCGGATACCCCCGCCGCCGATGCCGAGTTTTCTCATGCGCGCCTCGGATTACTTCATCAGCGGGACCGGCCCCGGTGCCAATGCCGGCGCTCCCGGGGCAAATGGTGGCGGTGCCAACGCCGGGGTCGCTTCTTCGGCCAGCCCCGGGGCCAACGAGCCCGAGGACGGACCGGCCGATCACTTTGACAACGGCGCCCCGTGTCGGCACACGTGCGACTGGCGAGCCGAGGGGGTCCGGTACGTCGAGGTGCCCCAACAAGGTCAGACTCTCATTTATACCTTCATCATTACATTATCGCTATATACCATTGTTATATTTATTATACCTAATACACTCATCATCGGATAATACATAATTATATTATGCGTGCCCTCCCCCCCCCCTTGGAATATTTATTACCTATTTACCTTGGCTCGTTGGCACGCCATTATTTTCATCGGATTATTTTGGAGCTATACGTAGATACGACTCCCCCTATGTATATTTATATCTTAAAGTTGTCTCTGTCACCCCCTTTATACCAATCTTTTGTTATTGGCCGACTCGCGTGTATTGCCATGTGTCGACGCGGTGGCTTTAGTTTTCGGTCGTACACCTATACCTACACAGTAGGTATATATAATATAGGATCGCGTGATGCGTGCCGTGTAATACTTGTACCTACGAGGGAGCGTGGCCGTGTCGCGTACCAGGATGGATATATAGGTATAGGTTGTGTGTTGTTGTTGTTGTTGTTTACACGTATATACATGTATATATGGTGTATAGGTGACATTGGTGCTAACGGCGTGCCGTGTATAGGTATACATTCGAGAGCTGGATTAGGACGGATATTTGGGGATTTTATTGTTTTTAAGAGGATTAGCGCCACCACCCGGTAGCTGCCGTTGCTGTGTGCCAGCTTTGGCAACCCCCTCGTGTTCTCTGCCACCCCTACCCCCCTTTTTCCTCCTCACCCTCCTTCCTCTAGAGCTGATCGATACCTAGTTTGTGTAAATACGTTCATTTTCCCTTCGGATTATCATCGCGATGGGGTGAAAGTATTTCCGAAACTCCGAGCTATGTGTGTATACCTATGCGCGTATATGTTATATATATATATATATATGTGTGTAACGTTAACGAGGCTAATCGAATTACAGACGAGTCGCGTTCTTCGAATTTCATTAGCGTACAGTACATATATTTATACATAGCTAGGTATTTGAGCTAGTGGATATATACATCCGTATGATGTGGACTTAAATTCTCTCTCTCTCTTTGTTGGTTGAGGGCGATACGTCGAATTTCCTCTTCCCTGATTGAATAATCCAATAACGTCAACCCTAATTGTCCCTTTATTCGTTGTTCCTTCTTTTTCTTTCTTTGTAAAATTTTTTCCTCTTTATATCTGTACATAGGAACGTTTCTCGACGACACGTGGTTCATAGTGTTGATATCAGCGTGCGTGGGCGTTGTTTTCGTCGGAATCATACTAGCAACTTTCATGTACAAATGTAAATTGTAAGTAAATCCATACAAGTGATATATAATTGTCCTTTTTTTTTTTTTTTTTTTTTGTTTTTTCGCTAATTTGTTTACTGTTGCACGTACATATTTTTTTTTTCTCTCACGACACGACCCGTTGTTACATGCGCCCGTAAAATACCCTGTTTCACTTTTGCACGAAAATTCAATAACACGTATACCCATGTACGTATAGCTGTGATTTTTCGATGACAGAAATTGTATATACGTTATACACGCATGTACCGGACGATGTAGCTTGAGTTGATCATTTTGCCAAATTATACGCTCAACCCGTACGATTGTGCAAATATTTTCTTCCGTGCGTAAATGGACTTCCATTGTTGCATGTGTATACATACCTTATATTTTCCGTGAATTGTATAGACCCAAACACTGAAAAATGAAAAAAAAAAAAAAAATGTTTTCTGGACTTTGAAAAAAAAGGGAACCAGAAGTAGCCCACCCAAACGACGACGCGTCCCAGTGCAGCAACCGCAGCAACAAAAACAGCACCCTGTCTACGTCGACGGCCAGCTCGGGTATGCAAACGACGACAACCTCGGGCGGGCCGTGCAGCAAACTGGGCCTGCCGAGGCTCCAGAGCGAGGCGGTCCTGTACCCGTGCGCCCACCACCAGCAGCACGACGCCCTCTCGGACTCGCGGGTCATGTGGGCGACCCTGACGCCCCGCGGCACCACGAGGCACTACGTCGAGGAGCACACCTACGAGACGATCGGAGCCACCGCGGCCGGCTCGCCGATCGTGGAGGACACCGACGGCACCGCGGCCGATGCTTCGACCGTCGACGGCGTTGTGCGGCCCCCGGAGCCCACGCTGCCCCCACCTCAGTCGGTGGGCAGCTTACTCAGGCCTCCGGGGCACAGGAGACGCTACACCGAGGCCGGCATCAACGAACACGTAATCACCAAGGCTGTTCCAGCCATTTATTTGTCATTCCACTCGCTCACCGCCACCGCCCCTACAGGATTGCGTGACTGCACGATTTCTATTTTATCAATACTCGTTCTTTCGGCTGTTTCCGTCTCACTTTTTTCCCCTTCGTTTTTTGCTTGGATCCCACGTACACGTTGCTCCTATAATTATTAAATTACTTTTTTGTACGTATAGTTTCTTCCTTTTTTTTTTTTTTTTTTTCATCACTGCAAGAGTGTTTTGAAAGTATTCGCGGATTTATATTTTTCTCTCAAACACCTTGATTAATTGCACTCCTAGTATTTTTAAGTAACGTAGAAATATATATGAGCGATTCTACGTCTATAAAAGGGATGTATAAAAATGTGAATGCAGTTTTTTTTTTTTTACGGCTTTTAAACTGGTATTGTTTTGTTCGTACCATCGGATAATAAATAAATAAATAAATAAAAAGGAAGTAAAAATNGTTCGTACCATCGGATAATAAATAAATAAATAAATAAAAAAGACTCGACAGGTCGACACGACAATTTTCATGTTATTGTTGATGTACTTGAACAATGCATTTTTCCGGTACAGCTTTTTTGTTTTTAGTGCTCGTCGGTCAAAATTTAAAAACACGTAACACTGAATGCCTGCGTCAATTAAACTTCCGAATGGGGCTTGAATAACCCAGGGATCCAAAGTTACGAGTAGCTGGAGTTTACTCTTCCGATTCACGAATTTTCGTCAAAGTTAACTAAATCCGGAAAATTTTGATTGATTGCCCTTAACTTTGTTTGATAATAGTGACATTTTCCTTCTATTGATTACCTTTTTCATTGAAATTCGAAAAACAACACCGTATTTAATTGATTACAATTTTTTTTAAACATGCAGTATAAAATATAAATCAAACAATGTGATGGATAAAATTTACTGAAGTAATAAAATAATGTCAAAATTATAAACTACTGATAATTAAAAAAAATGTGTTTTTCGTTTTTGAAAAAAACACTAGTAAAGACAAGCCTAAATAACGTATCACAAGGATATTAATTTTTCGCTTAACTTGCCTACTGGTTGTGTTTAAGTATAAATAACACATAAATAATATAGGAGTTGAAAGCTTTCTGGAGCATTCATTTGTTATACAAACAAATATCACGAAAACACGATCGATAGAGTGACCATCCGAATTGAGTTATCTCTTTTTCCGTGCTTTAATTTACGCTTTTCTGACTTTTCACCGGCCTCTGTCGAAAAAAATTTGTAGAGGAAGGATGTCACTTTTAGAACTTTTTGAAAAATTCATTTTGAAGTTTCGAAATGGTTTTAAAAAAGTGTCCACGATTTTTCTCATTGATGACGTGACATTTCGAATGACATAAAACCACTTTGAAAAATATAAAAAATTTTTTTTCATAATATAACCGCCATTGCTTGCAATTTCCCCGCATGTACAATAAACTACAATACGTTTTATTTAACTTTTACGCATCTTAAAGCATCCCTTTCGCTAAATCTCTTTGTGTTTCATTGGTAGGGCAGCCTTGACTTTTTATTTCCATCATCTATTTACAACTAAATACTCTGCAATCGTCTTACTGTACCCGCACTCAAACAGATTATAACCGTTTGCAACCACAATTTTATGTAAAATTTACGTGAATTGTATTTTTTTTTTTCCCCCATTTCGCATTTGCATTATTAATCCGTGAAAGCGTACTCCAACATTTAAATTCCTCGTTTCGTATTTACAAAACTGGAAGTATGTCATCTTGTCAGCGTGATAAACTCTTTCCGCGTATTTTAACGTCAACCGTAGTTGATCTTTTAGTGCATTTTTTGCAAATTGCGAAATGTTTCGAATTTAAATATTTTTTATTTTTAAAAATTCGAGCAACCGAATATTCAACTGAAATTCAAAATTCATTCGAGAATATAATTTGAAACAACAAAGCCAGTTTTTCGTTTTAGAGGGATTAGAGACTTTTCGTTTTGTACAGATGAGTATACGCTTTGCCTCTTGCACGCATGCACTTTGTCTTCCATTTCTTTGACGAATCCGAAACTTATCAGCGACGAAAAACATGTTATTCCTCCACTCCAGTTGTATTTAGGCGCAGATAGCACAAGAGAACACAATATACCTACGCACAGATATAACGCATGCTTTTGTTAAGTCGGTAAAGTAACGGTAGGCTTTTACAGACGTACTCCGAGCCACCGGCGGTGCCGGCCCCGCCGATCCCGACTCGTCCAAAGGACGAAAAGGCCTTTGACAATACAGCTTTCGTGGATTACGAGGACCCGCACCAAATGAAAAACGAGTATTACCAGCTGGAGGACGTCCTCGAGCCCTGCGACCCGAGTAATTGAAACTATCTCTTACATTTTCCTCCTCCCCCTTCAATACCGATCTCTGTTTTGTTGAGTGCTCGCGAGGTAGGGGAAAAAAAAAAACAACTAACGCCTCCGTCCTCGTTTCGCAGTTTTTTCGGTCCAAGGTCTGTACAGTATGCAGCCGAGGAGGAACAGCAGCAGCTCGGCGAGCGGCACCTTGCGCCCGCGCGTCAGCTCACCCATGAGGATCGAGCACCCAAACCTGCCGCCCCTGAACCTCCAGCCGTCGCTCAAGCGCAACAAGCAGCAACGCAAGAACTCGTTCCACCAGCCCGGCCACCATCTGCATCACCATTCGCATCACCACAATCATCACCAGCAACAAACTTCGCCTCAGCAGGCTGCGCCAGGTGACTGCACGATACTCAGGTCCGGCATGACCTCTCCGACCACCTACATACCGACCATCTAAGGACTCTCCATCTATACATTACCCCCCCCCCCCCCGACTCTACGTCTATACCTGCAGCGTACTGTTCTATACATATATAGTATATATTATTAAACCCTTAGGTATACCAATTCTATCTCTCTGCCGTGCAGACTAGACTGTCTTTTTTTTTCTTCTTCTTTCTCTTCGTTTGTTTTAATTTTTAATTTTATTTTATACATACATATACATATTTTAACATATATACATATATACATATATATTTATATTTATATTCTTACTGCTGTGCGAAAGCGAGACCGCGTTGATGGCGTGAGATAAAATGGGAATCAAACGCGTGTTCTTGTATGCGTGTAACATTGTTGTCGGAAAATATGAATCATATATAGAAAGTGTTGCGATTTGTATACATGTAGTATAATAATTATACGTATAAGTATATATTTGAGGAGGGAAAGAGGCGATTGTGCATCATTGGATTTGACAACGCAGATATAGTATGAGCTTCGAGAACCTTTAGATTTGGTCGTGCTTGGGCTGCAGTATTTGCTCGATGTAGCGCTACTTTGATACACACACACACACATACACATATACATATACCTAGATAAATGGGTATATAAGTTTATACATATATATCGTGGAATTGTTACCACCTGATATATACAATATACTTATTATCGCTCGATCGTTAATCCGTCGATTATTGTGTATATTATATGTATTGCTTGGGTTTTAATTAATATATGAGTACCTGCTGCGAAAGAGAACGTGAAAATTTCGAAAACAGGAGAGTATCGATCGATCGATCGCAATATGTTATATATTATATTATATATACACGCGTGTACATCCGGCCCTTTACTATGACAATCAAATGTGTATATGTAACGATCGCATCGGACTCTTCTGCACTGCTATATAATAATAATAATAATAATAATAATAATATTATCATCGTACATAATTATACACTCGATCGCTTTTATTCGTATATTTTCTTACGTAGGTATAATTATGTAGCGTCCCTTATCGTTCGTCTCTGCGTTTGTACATAAAATATGCTATTCGCGCGTTTGAGGAAGTATGACCAAATCTAGAATAATCGAGAATGTTGAAATTTTTTTGAGCCATTAAAGGATAAAAAAAAAAAAAAAAAAAAAAAAATAATAATAATAACAATCATCCATTTATCAACGAGAAAAGACCAATGTAGTTAGTAAGAATTAGATTTTTATCGATGATCACGCATATTTATATCGACGATATTAAACATGAATAGGAGACGTGTAATCAAGTATATCGCTTTATAATTAAGTAGATGATTCATTTTTTCCGATGATACACAGAGTAGTGAGGAGATATGTACATGACATATAGTTATTTATGAAATATCAGCTACGTAGAAAGAAATATTTTTATTGCTACTTAGAACGTTTCATTTATTCACTGCCAGAATAGAAGGATTTCTAAAATAGTTGATGATCAAAAAAAAACGAGAAAAAAAAAAAAAAAAAAAAAACCAATAATATTATCAAGATTTCGCACAACGGACTATAATTTCCTACAAAAGTCTGAAGACGCGCGAAATTGTATATCGATTTTTACTCGAGTCCGCGCAAACTAGAGTAAGCCCCGGTAACGGACTTTAGTTCCCATTTGAAAGGATCAACTCGTCTAAAACACGTCCTTTCGAAAGAAGTAAGTTTGAACGGGTAGAAAAACTGAATTAACTCTAAGTCGAGCGAAAAAAACAATTTTCAAGTAATAAGCTGTAACTTTTCGTATAAATTCTAAAGTCTGAGGGAAAGAAAGATATACGCATAAAATATATGTATCGTTTGTATTCGAATCGCATATCTCGACGCTATTGTTTCTATATAAAAAAAAGTTATCACTTGCTCTTGAAGAAAAAAAAAATCTGCTGCTTTTATTGGTCTTGCATTTGTATTAGTATATATTTACGATTTTTTCGTAAACACACCTATACCTAATATGATATTGTATTTCTCGTCTTGAGAGCAAGTTTGATAACAAACGGCAAAAACGTTCCTCGTGTAAACGCACTTGACTCACTTGCAAATCGTTTTAAACCATCGTGTAATTGTATACTGCGTAAATTAACTTTTACGTTTTTTTAACACTGTTACTATCTACATTATAATTATCACTCGTAGCGTATTTCGTTGATACGAAATATTCTATTTATTTGAATAAGTAACGATTAAGCAATATCTAAAACGCTATGCAGAAATTTACTTATTATCATCATTACTTTGGAAAGGATGGATAAGACAAAACCAAATGAGAGAAAAGTGAAATTTTTACATGAATTTTCATAGGATTTTCATATATGATTACTTGTAGACGAAGATGATTCTACAAAACCTGCGGGCCATGCGATACTGTGACTAACTTCTAATCTACTTCAGTGTTCCTAGTACTTAAGAAATATAGAATACGTCACACGACTTGATTTTGTAACTATTATTCGTTTAACGCGAACTCGGACTGATCTCACAAAATTGTAAAAGCAATTCACTTTACGAAAAGCAAAAGGAAAAAGAAAAAAAAAAAAAAAAAAAAAAGAAAGAAAAAGAAAAGTTAAACTAAACGAACAAAAAAAAATTTTCTATTTTTCACAGTCAAATGTTTAGACTCTAAATGTCATTTTGCAACATGATTACTGCGTATTTTCATGTTTATCGATTCGAAAAGGAAAATAATTAAAATTCATGTACATACATGTTATTACATACTTTAAATAATGAGGAAAAGCAATACTAGTCATCTAATTTACGCCAAAGTTAACTGATTGTATCTAATTAGAAAGATTATATATTATACGAATTTCCTC